CACCGGACGGCCCCACGGCGCACACAGCCGAGGAGAGGCTGGGGCCACGGCAGATGCTGCCGGTCCAGGAGGGAGAGCAGAAAGTGGGATCAGCCGCTCCGACGCTGCCAGCTATCAGAAACAGTTTGCAGAAGAGGGATGCGAGATTTGGGGCAGAAGGGGTCACAGCACCAAGGAGAAAGGCATAGGGGAGTGATTTTTGGTGAGCTCTTAAACAGACTGAATTTCTCAAAAGACAAAAAAGAGAGAAAAAAACAGAGGAGAAGATGAAGAAATGAAATACAAAGACCAAAGGAAAATCTCAGCCTAGTGACTGCCCTCAGTGACACCAGCTGGGATGGGGGAAAGAGGCTGCCACACAGGCGGGGACTGCCGTGGCTCGGAAGCAGCCCTGGCTGTGTTTCTAGCTTTAGACTATGCCCCGTTTTTATCTACTGCACCCACGGGAGGAAGAATGAACCCCAGGCCCAGAAGAGCTCTATGCCCAAAGCTGTGAGCATTTTAAAAAGGTTTTTCCTTATTTTGAACTTGGTTTAGATTCTGGTTTATCTTCAGGTCTCTGCCACGGACAAATGCTCTTTGAATCAATTAAAATAGTTTCCAGGTCCCACTCTGCCAGCAGCCAGAACCAGAGAAGCAAACCACACAGCAGCACCGGATCCACCTGCTAAAGCAAGTTCCAGCAGAAAATGCGTACCCGTATTCCATAAAGCAGACAGCAGTCTGTACCCTTGAGGGATTTATACATACTTGAAGCCAAGCTTTACTGGGCCACAAATATTTTGGTAATTATAGCGGAGACAATCGGAGCTTTGTGACACCCAACAGAAAGCAATGTCCCCTGCCATGGGAAGGAAAGGTTACGCTCGCCCCGCTTGGGTCGCTGCGACTGCTCCAAACTAAACCTGCATCTGGCTCCTCAAATGCACCCAAAGGCGACACCAGAGCGGACAGCCGTCCACCTTCGGCAGGACCAACCTGCCCAGCAGCTTGTCCTAACGACCTCAGAAATGCAAAATACTCAACCCGAAATGGTATAGTCATTATTCCTTTCCTGCTCACATGTCCTCACCACTGAGTGTGCTACGCTGGCAGCGTAAGAGGGGACATACGGTCACGTCCCAGTGCTCCAGCACAGAAAAGTACATGATTCCTCTCCATCAGCACCAGGCAAGACACCGGGTCCGAAGCCGAGCTGCCTGGAGCACACAGCGTCTGCTCAGCCTCCCCAGCACCCCAGGGACGAGTTCAGGGAGCAGGTACCTGTGGACGAGGAGCGCCCAGAGCAGAAGCTGCAGTGCAGCCGGTAAGTGCCTGCTTTGAAGGTTTCTCAAGAAAATGACACCCAGAAAGAAAACCCTGCACCAGGCAGGAGCCACCAAGGATGGAGCGCGGCGGGGCAGAGCTCTGCCCAGCACACCTCCCCAGCAACCCACCGCGGGTCGCACAGCACTCACCAGCAGGCCCCGTAAGAAATCCATCATCTTCCCAGTGTCGCCTCCCCAGCATCAGCCACGCAGCCACGGCTGCTGCCGCAACCAGACTTCCTCATGGGCACTTGGCAAGCGCGGCGGCGGCCCAGCCATCCCTCCCCAGCCCTGACACCTCCCTTCGTTAATGTTTCTCCAAGCCAGAGGCACGGCAGGACTGCTGCTTTGTTATTTCAAAGGGTGGCTCCCCTGGGAGGCAAAGTGCCCCAAACAGGTTGGGCAGGAAGCGGGCGAGGGTTTCCAGGGGACAGGCAGGCTCCTGCCCCCCGCTTGGCTCCTGCCGGGATGCAGAGCCCAGCAGCGGGATGCGCTGCGCCCCTCGGGAGGGCACTCGCGTGGGAGAGCTGCAGCGGGAACCGGGCACTGGGCAGGAGGCAGAAAATCCAACCTCTCCAGCTGGAAATCTGTATGGACAAAAAAGCCACAGCCCTTCCAAAGCAGCTGAACGAATCCCAACCTTAAATCCTCCCAGAGTCAGCTCAGGACAACCCAAGCTGCTGACCCAGGGGCTGCAGAGTAGGCACTAGCACCCACAGGGCCTTCTCATCCCAAAACCGCCCGGGGAGGAGGCAGAACACGACTGCTTTGGCCAGAACGCCTGCGCAGCTGTGCCGCAGCATGGGCAGTGCCAGCTGCTGGGGACTCACTCCTGTCCCTGCTCCCGCTGCCCGCACCCACCCCTCGTCCCTCTCCATGACACAAAGCCTTGCAGAGATCTCTGGGAAGCCCCTTAAAGTCTGCCGAGATCAGGGCAGAGCAGGATGAGCATGGAGGATATCAACTCAATGCACTCATGCTGCGCAGCACCTCATCACAGGTTCAGCTGCCTCAGCGCTGAGCCACCACCAGGCATCCCCTGCGCTGACCGCGATGGTCAGGGGACTGAGCAATGTCTCCAGACAGACCAGGTCTCTGGCTCCCAACCACAAAGTCATCCCAGGTTTCCCTTCATCAAGCTGAAGGCTCCTTAATCCCTGACATCTCCTCCCCCAGGCATCTCCAGTTCCATCTCTTAAATGCCAGCAAACACACACCCAGCCCCTGCCTTTCAAGAGCTGACGGCAGCTGAGACCGAAGCGACAGCAGGGACACAGGGAAGCTCTGACCAAGCAGATGCACAAATAAAACCCAGTGGCCCACAGGCAGCCCCCGGCCTGAAGACAAATGGGATTATTCCTGTTTGGCACCTCTGGAGCACCCTGCGCCTGGCAAAGACACGGGATCCTCCTCTGACACTGCCTGGCCGGGGTGCCAGCGCAGGCAGCCGTCACCGCAGCGGCTCTGCCGTCAACAGACCCGCAGGGACTGAGGGATGGAGGCAGGGAGCACATGCCACGGGCTCCCAGCTCTGCCTCACCTTTCCAAAAGGACAACCTGTGCCATCTGCAAAAGATGCTGGAGCCCTTTAATCCTGCTGTAAAGCAGAAGTCGTCAGTAATCGCTTTTAATTGCTTTAATCACGCGATTATAAAAACGAAGAACCAGCAGTGAAACAGGCAGCCTCCAGCCTTGCCGTGGAGACTGGTCCCCCGGCGTGTCCTCAGCCAAAGCCATCGCCAGCCTCTCCCCCAGCCACAGCACCCACAGCGAGACAGGCCCATGCAGCTTGCGATGCGAGAAGGAATGGCCATCTTTGACATGCATGAAGAAAAAACCTCAGCATTTGCTTTTGGGGAGCTTACGTTACCTGAAGCATATGGAGTAGCATCTATACACTTTTTTCCATGCAGGCTTCCCACAGGTTTCCATGCCAAGTTTCCCGTGCTGAGGGAAGCCTTGAGCTGAAGTTTAAACGTCATTGAAGTACTCGACCTCCCGCTGCCCCGCATCACCCGGCTCCAGCCGTACCGGCCCTGCATGCAGCATGCCTGGGGTCTCGCCCCCCATAACCCCTCCTGCAGCAGTACCCAGGCAGGGAGCAGACGCCGGCACTGGGGGCCACCTCCGCACCCGCACAGCCAGGCTCAGCCTGCCCGGCTCGCAGGCTCATTAAAAGGCAGAATTTCCATTTAAAACACGACAAGGCCAAAGGCAGAATCTCTCAGAACGCAGGTGCTGCTGTAAAGCCTGGGAAGGCACGAAGGAGCACGGCAGCAGGACGAGCCCCAGGGACGCTGCGGGCCTGCAGCGCTCACCGTCACAGAAAGTCCTACTTGAACTCCAGGCAGGTGTTACCGAGCAATTTACCACCTTTCTGCAAGGTAAAATAAATTGCCCTAGCAATTTGTTTCCTCCCGCAGGGGCAGGGCAGGCAGGCTGGGGCCGTGGGGGAGCCACAGCCCTCGCCCAGGACGGCCCACGTGAGAAACGCCAACTCTTGTGGCTTCCCCGGCCGTGCCCCGGCAAGTGGGCACCGGGCGTCCCACCCCGGGATGTAGCAACACCCCCGAGGTGAAATCCCTCCCAGCCCCCGGGAGGGCTGCTCATTGCCCAGCACCATCCTGGGAAACTTCTTGTCCTCTGAGGCCGGTAAACGGCGCGAGGGCTTTGGCTTCCCCTCCTCAGGCACCAGCCCAAGGCCGGCCAGGAACGCTGCTGGCACAAGGAGCAGGAAGCACGCTCTGCTGCTGGCACTCTGGCACCTCCCGCGCCCGGCACGCTGCACGTCCCGGGGTATGCCCTGCAGGCGGGATCCCCCCTTGCTCCCCATTTCCCACGGTGCCCCCAGGACGATGCCCCCGCTGCCGGCAGGCTCTCCCAGAGGCGCATCCCCGCTCCCGCCCTGCAGCCCGACGAGGTGCCAGAGCTCGTGTCACCAGTGAACGGTGTCAGCTCCTGCCTGCTTCATGCACCCAGGCCATACACAAAACCCTAAATAAGCCCAATTATCAGAAGGTCCACTAATAAACTCCTCTAACTCAATACTCTATTTCTAAGCCCACTTGCTCTTAACGACCATTTAACCAGGTTCTCATCACCTCGTAAGCCTCACATTCATCTCATCTTCTCCAGCTTAATGAGTAATTTCCCGGGTAGCAGCATATTGAGCGCTCTGCAGCTACCATTGCCTTTGTCTGCAAACTCTGGCACTGCAGAAATGTCTCCGGTCACTCTGACAGAGGCTACTTTTGATGAACCCCTGTTGCATTTTATCCTATTTTCCCATTCATTTCCATGTCTCAGATTGACTTTTCCTGCCAAATTCCCTCTGAAGCTTTGCCCCAGGATCACCGCCCCGGCTCTCTGCACCGCCCTGCTCGACACAGGGCTGCACACTCCCCGCTCGCTTCAGACTGTTTGAACAAGATAACGGCGAGCTGGGAGCTGTGGAGGTGCCCAGTCAACCTTGGCTCAAGCAGGACCAGCTTCCAGGTCTGACCAGGTTGCTCATGACCTTCTCCAGTTGGGTTTGGGAAAACTGCAGAAGGGCAGAGCCCTGCAGAGGCAGCCTGGCACAGGCAGAGCGGAGGGGAAGCGCTGCTGTGTCCTGCGACCTGCTGCCTCCACCATGGCAAAAGGCAGCGGCTGAGCGGTCCCTGGCAGGAACAAGCGGTGAGTCGGACCCCGCCAGCAGTGCCTGCCTGCCGGGGATGCACCGTCTGCCCCGTGCTGGCAAGCAGCCACCCGCCGCGGTGCCCGGGGAGGGTTATTAGGATAACAGCACTGGTATTCCGCACCCTGCTTGGCATCACCGCTCGCGATTGCGTAACATGAGCAGCAGCGCAGGATGGGGCCCGCCGGCACGCACACCCTACTGCCGCTGATGGTGTCTGAACACGCTGCAGGCTGAACTCCAGAAACCACCTACTGCTGCTCCCTCGGGAACAGCCCAAATCCGTACAGCCGCTGCGTTGGAAGTGCCGCTCCTCACCAGCTTCAGTTTCCAAAACCGGCACCTCGGCTGGACCGCGCGCCCACAGCCCGGCACGGCATCGCCCAGCCGGCACAGCGTTGCCCGCACACTCACCTTCATGGTCGGCGGGGCGGTGAGTGGGGGGGACAGCGGCCGCTCCGGGACGGTCACATCCGTGCTGTTCAGCAGCTCCTGTTTCCTGAAAAACCAAACGCAGGCATGTCAGCTTCCCCCGTGCCCCGAGCAAGAGCGCGAGGCAGGAGATAAGGGCTTATCTTCTTTGGCAAAGCCGCGGGCGTGTGGGCTGCCTGTAAAATAATATCTTGAATCTGAGAAAAAAACAAACAGATCACATAAAAAGACGATAAAAGTCATCTGAAGAGCCCCGCGCCCAGGGCAGGCCCAGACCCCTCACTGCCCCACCGAGCGCCCAGGCTCTGTCCCTGGGAGCCAGCCGGATCCCGGCCACAGGGCGGGGGCGCGGTGCTGGTGCTGGGCTCTGCCGGACAGCGGAGCAGGGACAGCAGGGCTGGGTTTCTATGACAACCCATCCCCACGGTTTCCCTCCATCTGGCACCCTCTCTGCCTGGGCAGGATCCGCGGCTGATCGGCCTCCCGGCAGCCCAGGCGCCATGGACGGTGGAGGAGGCTTCCAGCTCGGTGATGCCGGTATAAAACCCAGGGGCTCCCCGGTGGGGGTCCGGCAGGGCCCAGCTGAGGGCAGCTCCGCCACAGGGCACCTGGGCACGGGCAGTGAATTTGGAGGCAGCAAGAGGCGTCATGAGGACACGAGACCCCTGGGGAGCTGGGAGCAGCCCCCATGCCACGGACCTGCCACAAAAGCATCACACAAAAGCCCCCCAGCCTCGAAAAGGTACAACCTCGGCCCTCCACCAATTATCTGATAAAAACACCCTGTCCCCTTTACACCAACGGCTTCCCAGGCAGACAACCAAGCCGGCGCTCGCGGTGGTACTGCCAGATGCTACTCTGGGAGTCAGAAAATCTGAGATTTAATTTCGTTTCCTCTCGTCCCTGCCAGGTTAGTCCTGCAGAAACTGGGCCAAAACGTCCAACTGTTTATCTCGCAGTAACGAGGTTTGGTTCCCATGGCAGCCCACCCCGGGATGGGACGGCACGGTGTGCACAGCAGCCGGGCAACGATGCCTGCCGGGGCCCTCTCCAAAACAGGCAGGTCCTGCCAGAGGGTGCGCACCCAACCTCCTGCAACGCCGGCCCTTGCCGCCAGCCCCACCGCCTCGGCTCCTGCCCTCCTCTGCCGAGTCCCAGCTCTCATGACAGCAGGTGACAACCACATGCTGGTCATGGGGGAGGCGCGGGTGCCTGCAGCCCCTCCTCAGCAGGGCCGTGCGCCGCGGGGACGCAGCAGGGATGCAGTGGGGATGCCGTGGGCACTGCAGGCAAGTTTTCTACAAGTCCATTGGCGCAACGGCGAGTGCAAAACTCCACCATTGCCTGCGCGAGCAAAGGAGCGGCTGCTTGGCTGCGTCCCTGCTAACGAGAGACTGAACCGGAGCCTGAGAAGGGCTGGCTCCTGCTCCTCCTGCCTGTACCCACAACTGCTCTTGCTAATAGGCTTCTCCTGTTCCTGATGAAACTTGACTCCATCTCTTGAAACACATAAATGTATATATGCATACACACACATAAACATACGTATATAGATAAGCTTTTAGGAGAAAGCCGTCTGCACACTGCGGGTTGCAGGACGGCACTACAGCCTCCCGCCCCTCCGCAGCCCCACGCTGCAGGATCCCAGCCTGCCCTTTGCAGCACCACAGCCCAGACCAGGGATCTGGCATCTCTCCCTGTCGCTGCAGGACCAGCTTCACGGCGGAGCAGAGGAGAGCAGCCGGAGCCAGCGGCGCCTCGGAGCCCGTGTCCCTGCAGCCGGCACGATTAGATTTGGCTGGGGGGGGCTGCCAGTTGTCAGCCGGTGCTGTTAATGTGTCGCATGTACGGAGACAGGAGAAGCAGGGAGCTGCAACGCCCGTGACCAAGGAAAGGCAAGGACCAACAGGACGCAGATCGATCGTTCTCATTAGTCAACCACCAAGGAACAAGAATTAATGAACTTCAGTTGTAGCCAGGGGAACACCAGCTGGATGTGGGGGGAAACTCAGGGCTGGAGTTCAAGCCCATAAACCTGTCCCGGAGGTGTAAGAGCAGCCCAGGCAGGGCACGGGGGGATCAGCACGGCACGGGGCAGGACGGGGCCGCGCTGCAGCTGAGACCAGCCGCCAGCACGCGGGGACCCGGCTCACAGACCCCTGGGACCCGGCAGGCCAACTCCTCCGACACTTGTAATTAATTGCTGATTGCACTTCCCGGAGCCCGGGGCGGCGCAGGCGTGCGGGCAGCAGGGCCCTGCCGTCAGGACTTATTTCCCTTGGACTCAGACGATCCTGCTGGGCTCCTCCCGAGGCGCAGGCAGCCGCAGGCAGGAGGAAGGTGGATTTTTTGGCCTCTGGGCTGCAACGTGATGGAGCAGGAGGAGCAGAGCAGAAAGCTGCCTCATGGCTATGAGGGGCGAAGGCAAAGCGGGGCGAGCAGCACCCATCACCGTTGCAGCTGCAGGGCACCAAGGGCTGCGGCACCGCCTGGGCTGCGCCAGCAACGCAACCACAGGCGGAGGCACTGGGGGAAATGCCCAGTGGTTTGTGTCCAAACGTGAATCTGGACCACAGACTGACATTTACATTAAGCCAATATACATCTTTTTTCTTTCTTTTTTTTTAAATCAGAGCAGGTCAAATTTGCCTTACGTTATTACCTCTCATTTAAGCTCTTGGCATCTTCCAGTTTTTCAATGCAAGAAATGAATTAAAATGATGTGGGACTGTGTATGGGCAATAGGAGGATTCACGTCCTGCCCGCCTGCATTGTTTATCGAGCTCCTTCCCTTTCTCCTCTCCACAAACTCACTGTGACTCCACTGCTGAAAAAAATGCCGAGGATGACGGATTTTTACTGTTTGCTCTTTGACTTTCTAGGACACTAAAGCACAGCCTGATCTGGAGTGAACCACTCATCCTTTGCTCTCCTTGCTTTGAACCCTGAGCTCCGCCTGATTGCACTAACCTCCATAGTGGCCTCAAAGGCATAAAACGTACCAGACTTTGCAAAGATTAAAGTTACAAGGATGCACACAAATAATTTGATTTGATCTGGGATTTGTAGCAGGTTGCCATAGCATCATATTCTAAGTATTATAAAATCACTCACACAACTTAACAACGTGTTCCTCTGTCACATGCTGATTGCTTCTTTGAGGCCAAACTGCTGGAACTGCTCCTGCAATTCCGGGGAGAGCAAAACAAACCCATTCACCAGCCATCGCTTGTAATTAGCCTCCGTGCGCTGGAAATATGTTACGTTAAACTGCAACCACTGACTCGGATGATTCAGTCTGCTGTCAGCTATGGGGTCAAGGGCCATCAGCCTAATTCCCAAACAGATTACCCTCACACGATGATAAGTGAATCATGAGGAAGATTAGCACGTCTTTATTTGTGCACTGGCGTGCTCACACGGGGAAGCAGCCTCCGGGGATCTCCCCTGAAGACAACGCCAGAGCCAGCAGGTGCTGACGGCAGCCCCACGCCGTGACCCGGTCCCCAGCTGGCACCGGGGGTACAAGCGTCTGCAGAGCCCGAACCGCAGGAAAGGTCCCAGGTGTTCACGCCAGCGAGGATCGGGGCCGGGGGACGCTGTGCCGCTCCCCACAGCACCAGCACCCGGCTCCCACCCACTGCAGGGCCCCTGGGAAGCAGCCCCAGGACATCCATCCCCCCCAGGGGGTTCCCTGCAAAGCCAGAGACCAGCCGGGCAGCGGATGCTGGTGGCCCGCGGCGTGCAAGCATCACTGCCTCCGCTGCGCAGCAGCATGGCCTCCCTCGCCCCACGGGGGCCAGGACCCTCCCGCGGCACGGCCCCCAGCGTGCTCTGCATTAGCCCTCCCAAAAGACTCATGGCTCTACCACCAAGTCCTGCACCAGGATGGCAGAAGAAGAAAATACATCTCCTGCCTGAGCAGCCTGACCACAAACACGACGCAAGAGGGCAATTAAGAAGTAGGGGAGAGGACGGGGTGGGGAGGGATGGCAGGAATAGCGTGATGAGCTGAAGCCTGGTCTTGGCACGGCACAGCTGCAATAAACGGCCTCTGCAATCACTCCCCACTCGCCTCTCCCTGGCACCGCGGGAGACGCACGTCTCGAGGACCGATAACATATCCAAAGGTTACGGTGCTGCGCTCGCTCCCCGGAGGCAGCACCCAGCGCCCGGCTGCTTCACCCGGCCCCCACACCCCCGAGCCCACCCTGGCCAGGGCCGGGCATCAGCACACAGGATGGGCGAGAGCATCCTCCGGAGCTGCACGGCTGCACACCGGCCTTCCCAGAAGGCATCGCAGGCATCGTTTTTGTAATTTTATTTCTTCATTTTTCTCATTAGGCAAATTAAGAGAGAAGGAAAAGAAAGAATTAGAATCCTACATACTTAGTAAATCTAATTAAGGAAATACCTTAATGCAGTTACGCAGGCCCAACTGCAGGGTTTCCTAACGGAGACCATGAGATCTGCCCTGCCATCCTGGCACGGCTCCCGTGTTCCCCCCAGGACCAGGGCCGCAGCCGCGGGGCTGTGCTAGGGGGGACCCCGCTGCCGCCAGCCCCCACCGGGAAGGCACAGCCTGTGTGGCCGGGGCCGCTCCCCCTGCTTCTCCCGATTGGGGAGCAAATGGGGATTCTTCCCCCCATTTTGAGCACATGGGCACTGAGTTTGTAACACTGGCGAGTTCCCAACACAGCAAGGGCAGGCAAAGTCTTTCTCTTGTCTTTAGAGCATCCTCGATCACATCCCAAAAGCACCTACAAATTCATATCCTGAATTTGGTAAACCTCACCAACATACTGAAATTGTGATTAAAATGTCCCGTTCAGTACAGAGCCAGGGCTGCCGGGACCCCTGGAGCCCCCCGAGCTTTCCCAGCCGAACCCCTGCCTCCGAGCACACACTTCCCTCCCACTTTCTCACTCCAAAGCCTAATGAAAAACTTCTAATGCATCCCACCTTCTTGTTTTGTTCGTCTGATTTACCAGACAGGCTCTAAATTGACACAGTACGTTCATATAAATTACACGTGGGAAGGGGAGATGTCAACATATTATCTGATAC